TCAATCTTCAGATTTTGGTAAGAATTCTTACCCCCTTGATGCAATGCAGTCTTAACGGTCTCCTCCTCCTCGTCGGAATCTGAATCTACTCTCTCCACATCGGACTCAACAATTTTCTTCGAAGAAGATTTACCTTGTTTGCCACCACCATGGATAAGACTGATGAGTTGTGTGAGAGTCGAACCTATCGTCTCGATCTGCTTCTCCAATGCATCAATCCTCGTAGAATTATCTCCTTCAGCCATCTTCTCCTTCCTTAAATCCTGGACTCCTTCCAATGAAATAAGGATCTCGCCAAGCTTCTTGTACTGTGATCGAGTAAGGACCATACACAGGATGCCCCTTCACCAGATCTGATTTGCTCTGATACCAACTTGATACGAGTTGCCGTGCGAGCACCCTTTGGTCGCGGAATTACCAAAAGGTGGGTTGAGAAGAAGATGACCAAAACACAAGAACAATTCAGTTTGGCGAAGGAAAATACATTCTCTAGATTATGAAGCACAAAAGATTACAATCTCTCCCTCACAATCTCACTAGAATTAAAGAACAAGCTCTCCAAATCTCAATCTAGAATCTAATCTCTCTTGATTAAACTCTCTTATCTAAAAGATTATTTAGAAACCCTAAAACAATCCTTTATATAGGTGTACAAACGTGGATGGCAATCTGGTAAATAACCAAGCCCAAAATCAACAGGAAAACGCGTGAACAGAAACTCAAACGAACCAGGAAACCTTCGATGAGTCGACTCTAAACTGTTATGAGTCGACTCATGACCTCATATGAGTCAACTCATAACTGATGAGTCGACTGGTCAGAGACTTTTGCTAACAGGGCTGGGTTTCGTGAGTCGACTCATAACAGTCATGAGTCGACTCAACCTGATGAGTCGACTCATGTACATGTATGAGTCGACTCACGAGCTAAAAACTAGATTCTTCGAATCTGCTGCTCATCGTCTCGTTCCACACTTCTACCTGCGTTCCACTTAACTGTTTTACACCCATATTCTCATGCTATTATGAGAATCATCTATCCTCAAGCTCCCATGAGGATCGCTAAGTTCCGAAGAGAAGATACACACGTATCATCGGACTTTCCCTCAAACCTCACTCAAGCTCACTAGCTGACTTGACCGTCAGAGGTACCACGAGGGAACCAGTCCCCACCCTCTTACGGGTTTGTTCTTCTTGTCTGTGCAGTGGAATCAAATACCCCCATCCAAGAATTGAGCATAGAATTGGAGGAGGAGTCATCCCCATCTCTCAATCACTCCCTCCATGTCCTCTCTGCGAGGACTTGAGCTGCGCACGCCCGGAGACAGCTCCCATCGGATGTTTGATATTCGACATCAACAGCCCGGATAGAGGTGTGCTTCACGACCGGAGAGAAAACTTCATTATAGTCAACACCTTCTAGTTGTGCATACCCTTTTGCCACCAATCTTACCTTGTACTGTACACCTGTACTTTCACCGGAGCTTAGAAAACCATCCTTCACTATATAGACCCACTTGCACCCAATCGGCATCTTCCCATTTAGTGCTTCCACCAAATCCCAAGTATGGTTTTTATGAAGAGACTCAATCTCCTCTCTCATAGCTGTCATACACTCCTTGTTACGATCACCTCTCATATCCTCATTGTAGGTGACAGGCTCATCTCCATACATAAATAAAGCATAGGCTGCCATATCCTCAAATCCGAAATGAACTGGTACCTTCCCCGCATTGGGTCTTCTCTCTCTATTGCCTGCCAAGGACGGTTATTGTTGTTGCTGAATAGGCCCCTCATTCGGAACCTCCAATTCTATTGTTGCCTCATTAGTAGACATCGGTGAAGTTGTGAATTCCACCTCCAAAAGATCTTCACCACTTCCACCCAACCTAATTCCCTCCAAACTGGTGTTTCCACCCAAACTGGTATTTCCATCTGAGTTGATATCTCCCACATCTACACTCTTTGAGTTTAGCATGGCTGACTCATTGAATGTTACGTCCCGACTAATTACACATTTCTTCTACTCAGGACACCACAATATGTATCCTTTCACACCACTTTGATAGTCCAAAAGATACCCTTTCGGGCTCTCAAACCAATCTTATCTTCCTGAACGTGAAAATAAGCAGGGCAACCAAAGATTTTCAAATGACTTTAATCAAAGGGATTATCAGACCATACTTCAATAGGTGTCTTCGAATTACTGGATGTATTCAGTGAACGATTCATAAGATAGCACGCCGTGTTCACTACTTCAACCCAAAAACACTTATCCAAACCAGAATTTGATAACATGCATCATGCTCTCTCTAGTAGGGTGAGATTCATACGCTCCGCTACTCCATTCTGCTGAGGTGTCCGCACCACTGTGAAATACCTAACAATGCCTTGCTTCCTGCAGTACTCTTCCAACAGATCAGAGGTGTAGTCACCCCCATTATCTGACTGAATCCGCTTGACAACTCTGCCAGTCTGCTTATCGACCATTGTCTTCCATCTTATAAACAAATTGGTGACTTCAGATTTCTCCTTCATGGTGTACAGCCAAACTCTCTGCGAGAAGTCATCGATAAATGTCATGAACCACCTAGCTCCACTCAAAGACTTAACTTGGACCCCAAACATCTAAATGGATGTAATCCAACGTACCCTTGGTGGGATGCTCGCAGTGACAAACTTCACCCTACACTGCTTCCCAAAGACACATTGCTCACAGAAGTCAAGCTTTGATATCTTCTCACCGCCAAGCGGACCACGTATGCTGGGAGTGGTCATACCCTTCTCACTCATATGCCCAAGGCTCATATGCCACAATCGAGTAGATGTCAAATCAAATTCCTTGACCCGGGACACTGCAACAGCTCCTGTAATCACCTTTCCCTCAAGGAAATATAGATTACCATGTCGTTTACCTGTCATCATCACCTTATCTTCATGAAGAACTTTTAGAATCCCATTATCCCCTACAAACCTGTAGCCACTAGACTCCAAAGTTCCCATAGAAATCTGGAACATGCCTTACTTCTGTCAGAGTTCTCACCACCCCATCAAACATCTGAACTCGAATTGTGCCTACCCCAACCGTGTAACGCCCCGCCCCGGAATCCCGGAGTCGGTACGCTACTAGATCTGACGGACTGGCCTCACAAACCATCACATGTCTTTTCAGCACGTTTTGTCCTCACTCACGCGCTCCCTGGAAAACTTCCCAGGGGGTCACCCATCCTAGAATTTCTCCAGGCCAAGCACGCTTAACTTTGGAGTTTCTAAGAGTTGGGTTTCCTAAAAGAAGATGCATCTTGGTGGTATGAGTATTCCAATCAAATCTATTAATACTAATCACATCACCCTCTCAAGGGTTGGGGTATTACAATCTCCCCCACTTAAACTCGTAACGTCCTCGTTGCGCCAAATCATATCATCCAAGACCGTACCATCCGTGTGAGATTCTAGAGGTGGCTCCTACGGCCTCAAGAGGTGGCTCCCGCCCTCTCGACGTAGCACTTTGCGCCGCATAGCACTTAGTTCTCACAATTCCGGTTGGCTTTGCTCTGATACCATTTGTAACGCCCCGCCCCGGAATCCCGGAGTCGGTACGCTACTAGATCTGACAGACTGGCCTCACAAACCATCACATGTCTTTTCAGCACGTTTTGTCCTCACTCACGCGCTCCCTGGAAAACTTCCCAGGGGGTCACCCATCCTAGAATTTCTCCAGGCCAAGCACGCTTAACTTTGGAGTTTCTAAGAGTTGGGTTTCCTAAAAGAAGATGCATCTTGGTGGTATGAGTATTCCAATCAAATCTATTAATACTAATCACATCACCCTCTCAAGGGTTGGGGTATTACAAACCGTCTTGCAAGTAACATCGTTACCCATCAAGACGTTTCCACCTTCAACCGATCTGTAGGTAGAAAACCACTCCTTGTGAGAACACATATGGTAGGATGCGCCCGAGTCTAGCAACCAGCCGTTTGATAAATAACTGTGTGAAGTACTCGTCAGAACTTCCTCTGGCTCATCTTCGCAAGAAGCCTGAGCCACTGATGCTTGTATAACCTCTTCTTCAGATAAAGCACGCTCGTGAGGTTCTTCTTCTGATATCTACTCTCCAATTTATCCCAGATATCTTTGGCTGAAGTCTCCTTCTGAAAGTTGTAGGCGATATCCTTTGATAGACATAGACGAATAGTGCTGCACACACTCAAGTCGAGCTACTCCCAATCATCATTCTCCATGTTGTCAGGTTTTACCCCTCTCAACGCCTTGTAAAGCTTCTCCTTGATGAGAACGTCTTTAACTTGTGTTTGCCACAAACCGAAGTTGTTCTGGCCATTAAACGTCTCAATCCCGTAGATTGAAGCACCCTTTGAATGCCTGACATCCGAGTTAGAACTTGACTCCATCTTCTCTGACTCTAGTAGGAAGAACCACTGTAGCTTTGATATCGATTTGTTGTGTCAAATACGGATGTGCCACCAACTCACAAAGAAAAAGACAAGGATTAATCATGGTTCGGCAAAATGCCTACATTCACAACCGACGAGATCAACAATCCACTATTTATCAAGAGGTTACAACGAAGACGGAGAAGATTAGAAACCCTAATCTCTCTCCCTTACAAAGCAAAAAACAAATATCATTTTTTGCTGTCAAAGATACATTGAGAAACCCCTAGGCAATCTTTATTTATAGCCTCCCTCAAATTTGATTCCAACTAGCCAAACAACTTTCTAATCCGAATCCAAACAGGAGTCCAATTAGCCAAAAAAAACACCCCAATTCGAAACCAATCAGGACTCGAAAACATGTCCAAATCATGTGGGACCCATCAGTGTGTCCAGACTCTATAATCGACAGAGGGGGTGTGGCAATTTGTGGCTCATTATGAGCCACCTATGGGTGACTTTCAATACAGCCAACTTCAGAAGTCCATCTCTCATTTTCGCTACTTGCAGGCATTAATGAGATTTTTCATTTGATGTTACATGTACTCTGAATTTTCAGCAGAGCGCAGGAGTTTCCATCTCACTTAACAAATGGACGGTGGAAGTTCCCCTCCCTCCATTTGTTTTCGTGTGGAAGGCTTGTTGCTCTGTGGAACATGAGAATATACGGCAAATCCTTCCTTTTCCTCTTAGTTTTCATCCTCTGTTCGTTCCCTCTTTCCTCCGAGGTTTCATGTGGAACTATTGAAACTTGGTAGGTTACTGCTCCATTTGTTTTCGTGTGGAAGGCTTGTTGCTCTGTGGAACATGAGAATATCGCACGACAAATCCTTCCTTCTCCTCTTTTTCATCCTCTGTTCCTTCTCTCTTTCCGTTTCTAGAGACACCCTGACCCCAAATCAGCCCCTCTCTGGCGATGAAACCTTGGTTTCCTCCCACGGGACCTTCTCTTTGGGCTTCTTTTCCCCCACCAACTCAACAAACAACCGGTACATCGGTATATGGTACACAATAATCCCAGGGCAGAGGGTCATCTTATGGGTTGGGAACCGTCAAAATCCGGTCTCAGGTCCTACGGCAGTCCTGATGTTAACATCCAATGGAAGTCTCCTCGTAACTGATGGCAACTCTAAAGTATTCTTGTCCTCGCCGTCGATGATGGCTGTTGGAAAACCTGTGGCGCAACTCTTGGACGCTGGCAATTTTGTTATTAGGGATTCTCAGATAACCGATTCCAATAGTTTCGCATGGCAAAGTTTCGATTATCCGACCGATACTCTTATAACAGGCATGAAGCTAGGTTGGAACCTAACAAGTGGACTCAACCGTAACCTGACAGCATGGTCTAGCTCAACCGATCCATCCCCTGGTAACTACACCCTAGCCTTGGACCTCCGCGGTGATCCTCAAGTAATGCTTTGGAATGGCCATAGTCTGCAATGGCGGTCCGGTCCCTGGACTGGCCTCCAATTCAGCAATAACCTACCAGTAACTCTAACTTATACAGGTATTTTTGCCTACCATTTTGTTAATAATAAGGAAGAGGTTTACTACAGTGCAGGCGTGGTTAACAAGTCCACTATCACTAGGCTTGTTGTGAACCCACAAGGGGTCGCAGAACGGTATATCTGGCTTGATGCGTCTCGCATGTGGGACCGATACTGGTACACCCCAAGCACCCAATGTGATGGGTATGCTGCTTGTGGCCCATATGGTTCGTGTGATCCAAAGGGTTCTCCAATGTGCAGTTGCTTGCAAGGGTTTGAGCCTAAATCACCGGTAAATTGGGCTGTAAGATATACTTCTGATGGGTGTGTCAGGAAGACCAAACTGGATTGTAGGAATGGGACTGATGGATTTGTGACTATTCCCCGAACGCTTCTGCCAGACACAGTGAACGCGACTGTAAACAGGACAATGAGCCTGGATGAATGCCAAGCTGCCTGTTTGAGGAATTGTTCTTGCACTGGGTTTTCTCGTGCTGACACACGCGGGAGTGGAAGTGGGTGCATTATGTGGTTCATGGACCTAATAAACTTTGCATCGTACTCGGATGCCGGCCAAGATTTCTATTTACGTTTGGCTGCGAAAGACATAGGTAGTCACTTATGAACTGCATTCTTCTTGCCTCTCGATAATGCTAACTCCCACACACACGCACACATGTTCTTTTTTGGGTGCTGATCAATTGAGGAAGCTTTGTTCTTAACCCGATTTATGATTTGGAAATTAAAAGCTGCGTTCTTAAAGAAGATTTGTTCTTAACCTGATTTATGATTTGGAAATTAAAATTTGCGTTCTTCAATGCATCACTGTTCTGTTTTTCAGCTACTATTTTTGTTGTTCTTCAAGGCTTAGGTTCATGCCTTATCCATCTGATGTATGAATCATTAAAAACAACTCTTGATTGAGCAGTGTTGGTGTCTTACAGGTTTAATATCAAGTCAATCTCATAAGAGCGGAGATGCAGCCTTAGCAGTATTGTTAAGTGTAGTCTTGGGGGTAATATCCCTGCTTGTCAGTGTTGCTTGTTATGCATGGAGGAAGTTGAAATGGACTAGAGGTATTTATATATTTCTAATTGAACATTAGCATACTGCTATCTTATCACATAGTACATAATTACATTGTGAACTTATAGTTTCAATAAATGCAAAAACTCTTTGTTAGGGAATGCTTTCATTAACGGGGAAAACCTTGTGGAAAGTACTAAAGAAGATGATATGGAGCTTCCGCTCTTTGAATTGGTAGAAATTGAGACAGCAACAAACAATTTCTCTAATGAAAATAAGCTTGGAGAAGGTGGATTTGGTCCTGTCTACAAGGTAAATTTCACATACTAATTGATTTGGTTCCCAATTAGGGAATGATGATTCATGAGTAGTTTACTATGAATATTTCAAAATTTTAAAAGAAGTTCGAAAGTAAAAGTTTATTCTAGTTTTTTTAACTTTTATGGTTCCCAATTAGGGAAAGATGAGAGAGGGACAAGAAATTGCTGTGAAGAGACTTTCCAAGACCTCATTACAAGGTCTGGGTGAGCTGAAGACTGAGGTAATGTTAGTGGCCAAGCTCCAACATAGAAATCTGGTGAGGCTTCTGGGATGCTGCCTTGAAGGAGATGAGAGGATATTAATATATGAATTCATGCCAAACAAAAGTTTAGATACCTTTTTGTTTGGTAATTGCTTCCCCTCTATTTCGTCCATTATTTCATTCTCTCTTTTTAAATATGTTTTGTCAATCATCTCACCATATGCTTGCATTCTTGTGTCATTTTGTTAGAATCCTTTCTGGAATATATGTTCAGGGCACTACTTAAGTTTTCATTAAAAAGTTTGTTTAATTAAGCTATAGGTAGTCGATATTCGTCCAAACTAGTGATAAATTTCACGGAATTTTAAATTGAGGTTTTTCGCAAAATTCATAGACGACATGGAAATTCCTATGAGCGGGTGCGTAGATGTGCATCCAGTTGTGAATGTGTGGGTGTGTGTATTGGTTTACATATCTAAGTGCATGTTCAAGTTCATGTTTTACATGCACGTCAAGGTTGCACAGATACGGGTGAGAGTGCGGACACGGACACGGGACATGGTAAACTTATAAAAGGCTGGATAAGGGGACATGGATACACACACATGCACATATATATGCATATCTATAATATTCACCTTAGATCAAACATTGAATTAAAATATCCATAACACTTGTATGTTTATTTTACTGTCTGTAACAATTAAGAATCATATTAAATCAAGCTAGGAATTAAGGTTTAACAACAAAAGTATAGTTTTGATCGCATGGGACACAATGGGTATTTTTCAAATCTTTAAGTAATGATTAGGTTTTTGGGTTCAAAAACTTATTGGTTTTGAGCTTGGTGGGTATTTTTCAAATCTTTAAGTAATGATTAGGTTTTTGGGTTCAAAAACTTATTGGTTTTGAGCTTGGTATATCCAAGAAATTAGTTTAGGGTTTGATTAGGTTTTTGGGTTCAAAAACTTATTGGTTTTGAGCTTGGTATATCCAAGAAATTAGTTTAGGGTTATAAGTAGCATGCAGAGGAAATCAGATTTTGCTTTGAACCACGTGCACATGGCATGTCTGCGGTGAAACCGTATTCAACACATGTTTGGCACGGATATGCATCCAAAACGGATGTCTGAGTAACATATATGCACGTGAAACAGTAGGTGTGTGAATAGGTGCAAAAAGAGATTCAAATTTCAACTATTAACCAATTGTGAGCACACAAGAAATTCTATTATTAAAGATCGGTGATAACAACTGCGCCTCCTGAAGATGGTAGAGCACCATATAATTACAAAATGGACATTTGGGCTAATGTCTCTTAATGCATGTTTTGACATTTTTCTTAGTCATAATAACATAGTAACCTACAAAACGTAAAAATCTGAAGCTAGCAATTTATACGACACATAGTTTATATTTAACGTTAGATGTCATACCTTTATTTTATGTCAAAGAAATTATAGATTGTGATGCTTGTTCACTCTAATCTCCAATCAATAATCTTGATAGTTGTCTTTTGTCATTCGGGCATTTGGACTATAGTCCTTATATTGATAGTTACTAACTAAGATGATGAGTGAGGATGCAAGGGAAAATAAGATCTTTAGCTATTGGACACTGGAAGAATCCATTTTTCTAGGTTGGTTGATTAGTTGTCGGGTCAAAATTATATGGAGAATATATATGACCTCTACTTTAATCATAGTTGTACATCATCAAATCCCAGTTAGATAATATTCCTTTACCATATGGAGTCTTGGACTTTGAACGCTAGTATTGATGGTTTTGATTAGTGGAAAGACAAGGACAAGTGGGAGGATCTCTAGCTATGGATTTTTGTGGATGATTTATTTGGTTGATAACTACAAACAACACTGAAATGTGTATAAGCTTTTAATCTAAACCCTAGTCTTGCTCCATAAAATCCTAGCCAGACAAGTCCCCTATGTCTTTAGTTGATTCTTTCTGAAGTTTCCTAGGTATTTCTATCATGAACCCGTACACGTATTGGACATGTACCTGACACGTACTCGTACTCAAATTTCATGGACACTCCTTGGATATATGCATACATTTATTCAGACATTTACTCAATTATATGATGTATGTATAGTTTGAAACGCAGTCTTGCTCAATAAAATCCTAGCTAGACGGGTCCCCTATGTCTTCAGGTTGATTCTTCCTGAAGTTTCCTAGGTATTTTTGTCATGAACCCGTACACGTACCTGACATGTACCTGACACGTACCCGTACTCAAATTTCATGAACACTCCTTGGATATTATGCATACATTTATTCAGACATTTACTCAATTATATGATGTATGTATAGTTTGAAACACTTGTCAAATATTCCTTGGACGTATATTCTATACTTCACATCCATTTCTTAAAACTTTTAGACCTGGATCAGGTTCGTTTCAGCCCATATCCAGGTCTAAAATTATGATTTTAAAGGAGGTGTTTAGTTCAAAAGCTAGTAGTTTCTAATTTATAAAAATTAACATAATAAAAGAAACTTAAATGTGATAGGAATTGTAATGATCTCATGTAAATTATTAATTTCAATACATATATGTAGTTGTGTCCTCGTACAGTCCATTTTACAATTTTTCCATATCTCGCGGTCGTACTTGCACCCGTACTGGTACCCATACATGTTCCCATGCAACTTATATGCATAGCTCAAATGATTTTTATTTTAGTACTTTACCTTTTTTAGTTTCCTACGTACCTTTCAATCACATTTTAATTGCATAAATGGATAAAATGCATCATTTCCTTTTAGTTGCATACAAAAGCATTACGTCTCAAACTGAGAAGATTAGAAATGATGTTTTCCGGAAAGCTTTCTTTCTAAAGACGACCACACATTACGTCTCAAACTGAGAAGATTAGAAATGATGTTTTCCGGAAAGCTTTCTTTCTAAAGACGACCACACACCCTTTAGTCTTGGTATTTCTAACTTCGGAAAGCTTTCTTTCTAAAGACGACCACACACCCTTTAGTCTTGGTATTTCTAACTTCGATGAGATTTTGTTCAGATGAACAAAAAGTGGCGTTATTGGATTGGAGAATGCGATACCAGATCATTTTAGGAATTGCACGAGGACTTCTCTATCTTCACCAAGATTCGAGATTCAGAATCATCCATAGGGACCTTAAAGCTGGAAACATCCTTCTTGACAAAGATATGATTCCCAAAATATCAGACTTTGGTTTGGCCAGACTTTTTGGAGAAGATGAGACGGAAACAAAGACAAGGAGAGTAGTTGGGACATAGTAAGAAATATCCATCTTTGATAGTGATTGGTCAATTTAGTTTCAGTTACCGCAATACCTAATTTAGTGTTTGATTGAATGTAGTGGTTACATGCCTCCAGAGTATGCATTGAATGGGATCTTCTCAGTGAAATCCGATGTATTCAGCTTTGGGGTTTTAGTATTAGAAATCATTAGCGGAAGGAGAAATAAAGGGGTATATCTCTCTGCGTCCGAGGAATATCTCTTAGGAAAGGTAAGTACAATTAGCTACATCTAATTATTGTCGATACATGGCTTATTTCTGGTTTTAATTCTTCCAGGCATGGACATTGTGGAAAGAAGGTAACGGCTTGCAACTAATTGATGCATTTCTGGTTTTAATTCTTCCAGGCATGGACATTGTGGAAAGAAGGTAACGGCTTGCAACTAATTGATGCGTCATTGGATGCCTCAGTGTTTATGACTGAAATTCTAAGATGCATGAAAGTGGGGCTTCTTTGTGTCCAAGAGCAACCGGAGGACAGACCAATCATGTCATTCGTTGTTTGGATGTTAGGCAGTGATCATGCTTTTCTGCCAGAGCCTAAACAACCTGGTTTTATGGCAAGGGTATCTCCGGTGAAGGAAAACTCTAGTATAAACGATCAAACACTTACTATGTCTTTAGGTAGATAGTTGTTATAGTGTTTGTTACATGGGTCAGTTAGTGGGTGATACCCGTAAACCCTTTTAGTGGTTAATTATGATATGACTTTTATTCCAAGTTTTCTTGTCTCGTGCCATTATGGTATGACATTTATTTCAAGGGGTGGAACATCTAATGATTAATTACCTGGGTTTCTTTTCTCTGATGATAATAAACTCCTCTATATCATTGTTGATGTAGCGAGCTGGTTTTCTTATTATCATCATTGTCTAATTTATTTTCTGACATCGACGTATCATCTTTACAAAGATATTCAACTTTTCCGGATAAAGCAAATTGGAAGCACTATACAGTTCAACTTTCTCCATGAGATATTTTGCAACAAGTCGTATAATTAGAAGCCCCTTCGTGAATGGGCACCTTCTTTTGGTTTGTTTTTATGGTGTAAGATTGATGTACAATGTCAAAACACAATCCATTCAAACCTTCGGGCTCATTTGTCATATGGAACAGAACCCTTTAGGCTACTCTGCACAGAATGATCTCCTTTGGGCAGAACCTTTTGATGGTCGATTCATCAATGTGTTTTTATTTTGATAGACCAGAAACTTAACATTGCTATTTCTAGATATTGTTATGCAAATTCTGCCGGTTACTATTTCGAACAAGCTAATATGAGAAGTACAAGTTATGGATAGTGATAGATTGGTGAAAGGTGAAATGTTCTATGTTGATGCTAACTCTAGGCTTTGTTATGGTAATTTTGATTAGTCCAATTTTACATGAGCAAGAGCCTACTGATGTTAATTACCCATCATATAAATTTCTTTCTTTATGTTTCATGACAGAAATTTAAATCTTAATCCTCCTTAGCTGTTGCAAGTTGGATAATCACCCAATATTATGGTGCAGGTCTTTGCCTGTTTACCTCTGAAACAAGGAGTCAGTAAGATGAACATCTAGTAAACAATCTTGTATTTCTTATCTTTTGCACAATGCAAGATTAGAATTAGCGACAACAAATAATTACTGTTTAGGACAGTCAGTCTTTAACATGTAAAGCTAAATATTTGAGCTTTTATTCTTGCATAACACAGAGATGAACAACACCTACTAATCTACAGCGGCATTTCTAGTATTTTTCATATGTAGCTATTACTCCTTGCATCCTTGTCTTTATATTTAATTCAGTGCATTCTTTTTTACTCAACCACAACTGTAGCTATTACTCCTTGCATCCTTGTCTTTATATTTAATTCAGTGCATTCTTTTTTACTCAACCACAACCATCCAATTGCAGGGCCCATGTTTGAAACCTATGTGTGGAATATACGTATGGATGCATACGATTGAGTCCCGGAAGCTAGAGAACCTTCTAGTCTCTTATGCGATGAGTCAAATAACCTCCTAACGGGATGTTGATGGAGCAAGTCACAATCTTTTTCCGAATAACATTCAAAGTTCATATTATGGTAACATTTGAATATTGAATATCATCTGCGTATTGAAATATGTGAATAACATTCAAAGTTCATATTATGGTAACATTTGAATATTGAATATCATCTGCGTATTGAAATATGTAGGCATACGGAGGACTTCATGTTGGGAATTTATGCCGAAACCCCTACATGAAACTTGTTTTGTAAACCATCAGCAACTTCATGGCACTCAAAGTTTCATTTCCTTTCCCACTGTGGACTTTTAGTCATCCATCGAGAGGCATACTGAGTCTTGAGCCTTGTCAGTCAAAGCAGTGCTTATGACTGTGCTTATAATATTCAAAGGCTTTTACCAACTACTAAGAACTTTAGATTATTTTCGCGTCACAATCTTGGTTTATAGATTCTTCCTGTTCATGAGATAAATGAGTGAATGAGAGTAGGAAAGAGAAGTAGGAAAGAGAAGTAGGTCTTGAGCCTTGTCAATTGGCTTACTTACCAGCCTAAGAAAGAGAAATGTGGACAGCATTTTAATTCATTTAATTTATAATTTATTTAGTAAAGTAGGTGAAGAAAATTAGTAGATAATACAAACCCTAACCCTATTAGGAGATCTCTTGGGCTTATATAGGCCCTACACAACTTACACATAACCCCTTACAAATATTACTAATGTCAACACTCCTCCTCAAGATGGGCGAAAGATATCCACTAAGCCCATCTTGTCACATCCTCTAATCATGTCTAATGAGCTAAGTCCTTTAGTCAGACAATCTGCTGCCTGGTCCTTAGTTGAAACATGACTTAGCTCTAGTAGTCCACTATCCAACTTCTCTTTGATGAAGAACCTATCGATCTCAATGTGTTTGGTTCTATCATGCTGCACTGGGTTGTTGGCGATACTGATAGCTGACTTGTTGTCACACCATAACTTTATCTTAGCTCCTTGATCCAGCTTCAGCTCAACCAGCATACTCTTCAACCATAACAACTCAGCAACTCCTAAGGCCATAGCTCTATACTCTGCCTCAGCTGTTGATCTCGCCACCACCGATTGCTTCTTGCTCTTCCACGAGACTAAGTTGCCTCCTACAAAGATGCAGTATCCCGAGGTGGACCTCCTGTCATTAGCACAGCTAGCCCAATCAGAGTCACAATAACCCTCGATGCTCACATGTCCATTTTTCCTGAATATCAGTCCCTTTCCAGGGGCACTCTTCAGATATCTCAGAATCTGGTACACAGCGTCCATATGACCCTTCCTTGGATCATGCATGTAGCGGCTCACCACGCTCACTGCAAAAGAGATATCGGGACGTGTGTGACTCAGATAGATCAACCTCCCTACCAGCCTTTGGTATCTGTCACGATCAACTGGTTCTCCAGCCTCAGCACCCAGCTTGAACTTCTGGTCGATCGGTGTAGTTGCAGGTTTACACCCTAACATCCCCGTCTCTTTAAGAAGATCCAGTGCATACTTTCTCTGGGATAAGACAATCCCCTCCGCTCCGCGAGCTATTTCTATTCCAAGAAAGTATCGAAGCAAGCCAAGATCTTTCACCTCGAATTCCTTACCCAGTCTCACTTTGAGTTGGGCAATCTCCTTCTCATCATCCCCTGTAATAATCATATCATCCACATATACCGCAAGCATGGTAATGTGGCCT